ACACCCTATATGGTCAAGTTCAAATGCTACTTATACTCGAAGATCTTTCCAGTCCTCCTACAGATACTACTCCACTAGCTAGGCTTGATCTCTTTCTTCCCTGGGCACTGAAAGTGTTATATTGGTTTTCCGCTATGGTACCTAACATAATACATTTAGTTATATTTTTTTAGTGTCTCCCCTTGTCATATTTCAAGATTGGTGCAGTCAGTGCCTGCCTCATATATATATATATATATATATATATATATATATATATATATATAATCTTCAATACCTAGCACCTTATATCAAGTACCTAAGTGCTTTTAAGCTTACAATGCTTGATTGCATAAGTGAATGAATGAGAAGTAGATCCTCAATAAATATTACTACTCAGCAGTAAAATTTTATTACAAATGGCTGCTGTTGCCAATGCAGGAAGCCTTGCAGACAGTAAGCAGCCTGAAAACAAACTGTATTATTTGAGAGGAGGTACTTTTATCTCTTAGCTAAAGTTTTTGCAGGTCACTTTGGTATGGTGTAGTATCAATTTGAACTCATTAAATTGAAGAAATGACACAGGAAAAAAAAATCTTCTGATGTTTAGTATAAATATCATGAAGAATTACAATAGCTTTTCATGCTATATATCATATGATTAAGAGAAAAAGAATTTCAAAATGGCAATATTATCTTATTTGTGAGCCAGAATAGTGAATGCGTTCTTTCAAATAAATTCTGGTAGGGTACAGTGACTATAATTAACCACAGTTCAAGTAGCTAGAAGAGAGGATTTTGAATCTTACCAACACTAAGAAATGATAAATGTTTGAAATGATAGATGTGCTAATCACCCTGATTTAATCATTACACATGGTATTCAGGTATGAAAATATTACCATGTACCCCATAAAAAGGTACAGTTATTATATGTCAATTAAAAATAATAAAAATTTAGCAGAGCTATATAATTAAATGAGAACTGCATCAAAAATGAAAAGAGGAGAAGATGCCACTTCTATTTGGCTGTGATATCTGTAAGCTCACTAATACATCTCTTTTCATAATCAGAGGAAAGACAAATCAAAATGCTTACCCAGGGCCTAATGACTAATGCTGCAGGCTTATTTGCTTCTACTGGTGGACAAAATATGTTTCTAGCAGAGAGGAACAAAGTGGAAAATTTCCTCAGAGCATCATTCCATTTAGAATTTCACTTGGTTCTTGACTCATTTAAAAAAAAACCTCAAATACTCAAGAAATAGTCCAGGTAGCATAATAATATTCATTATAGGTTACTTAAGTAAAATACATTTTAAAATTACTTCTTTGTGTCAGTCTGATGCCTTTAGGGAGGAAGGATTGTAATTGTTTTTAGCTTTGTATACAATTCTGCATGCAAAAGGTCATAGCAATGTTTTATCACATTTCAGCTCCATGTGCCATCAAATTGTTTGGCACTCAGTGATTTTATTTATTTAGGAATAATCTAGAGATGTTTGTTTGAAATTTAATCATTGATATAATTACTTTTTTAAAAAGCATGTCGTTTACATGATATTTGAATTTTTCAGTTGGATAATGTTAACTCATTTTGCCTTAAAAAGAAGTGTTAAATAACTTGGATCTAAATAATTTACTTCTTCATAAATGTCCATAGATTTCCATTTTTTCTATTGCCAAGAAAGATTTTTTTTCAATATTTTTAAATATACTTAGTCCTGAATATTTTTCCATTCGTGTTCATTTTTTTAAAAAAGCTAAAGAAATGAGAGGTGTCAAAGGCAACTGCAGTTGATCTTCCAGGATAGGAGTATGTCTGAAGGGACTACTGATTATAAATAACTCAAGGAACCCAAACACCCAGTGTATTAATTAAACTCCTCCTAAATGATATTCCAGAAAATGTAAAGTGTCCAAACCTTTGGCTGTGTCAGATATTCAGCTGTGAATAAAATCAAAAGTTGAAGTAAACTTTGCTAAAAACAGACACACAATATCATTCAAACCACGTATCTCAGAAACAGCCTGTCATGAGAATGCTGCTGGATTTGCAACTCCTCAGAACAATGTTCAAACAGATAGATGAGTTGGAAGCTCTTCATTACAGCATCTGTTCTGTGTTTATAGCGACACATGCAGACTGCTGAGCACCCTCAGTGTACCACAAATGTAGGAGTTACACATCCAGAATAGCAATAAACTCATTGGGTGATGTTTCTCCAGAGTTTTTAGCCCCTTTGCTTCAGTTGGCAAAACTCGAGCAGATTTTTGCTGCTGTAAAAATATTAGATTGTTTGTGGTTTTGTAACTTTGGAGACAAACTAGGAAAACATAAAATGGCAATAAAAAGGGTAAAAACATAAGCATTAAGATTCTTTTTTATCTACTAAAATTACGGTCTCACATAATTACCACAGGAGCAACAGCAGAATAATTGAGAAAAATTAGTAAACATATGACTGTTTTCCATAGAAGGTTAGCCTCAAATACCCTCTCTGGGTCATCTCATTGCTTGGTACCTATTGGAGAAGGTTTAAATTATACACAGAAACCTGCAGGTTATAATTTTTAATTAGAAATATATTTCTTATTAAATTATTTTAATAATGCTTGATAAATTACAGCTGATAGTTTCACAGTTTGCTGATAAAACCAGTACTTCCTAGACTAATAATCCAGTTCATTTAGACCATACTGCTTTTTCTCTCAAAGCAAGGTCCCACATTAAATTAATTTCTACATTTCTAATAGTGAAGTGAATACTCTCAATTTATAAGGAAAGTGGTTCCAGGTGTGGGAAGATAATCTCTTGCGGCAATGCCTGGCCACTAGAGAAATGCTTAGCACTGGTAATGTGACATCAGCTAGCTCCATCTCATCTCTGCAGCAAGCACTGCATGCTCTTCATTATTCACAGTTCACTTAAACTGGTGCCCATATCTATGTACATAGAATCAGTGGGAGAGCTTTCAAAAATGCATATTCCTGGGCACCAACGTAAGATAACTTAATTATGTAGGTTTTCTCTTTACCTTAAATGGTTAGAAGAACAAGTTTCAAAATGACACATACCCCAAAATTATAAGAAAGCTTCTGAAGAACCATAATAAAGGCAAGACAGTTAGAAACATGGAGCTACATAATGGTGGATGTTGTAATGGAACCCTCAGAAAATCATAGGTGATGCAATAAAGCGAATCTTCTAATCCTTATGAACGTTCCAATATAAAGAATGCCTTCTTTACTTTCATTTTCTGTCCTCTTAATTCTTCCCTCTGAGTGGAAATTGTTAGTGATGCCATTTTACATCTGGACTTTACGGCTAATTGTCTATTTTTTTTTCTCATTTCATGGCACTGTTGGTTTGCTTTCATGATCCCTGATAACCCCCTGCCAGGAGTTTGCTACTGAGGGGAGTTTGGCTAGAATAAAAAACATGGTAAGGGGGAAAAAAAAACAGCTAAGCAACTTTTATGATGAACATCTTGTAACACACTTAAAAATGGATACATCAAGAAGTAAGCATACGTTATTGGCTTCATCCTAATGTTGAAAAAAAGTAGGGATGTCTTTACTTGTTTTCCCAAGACTCCCTGGTTAGATCCCCAAGTATAGAAATTCTGCAAAAATGCCCATGTTGCTGGTTGAAAAGTAGACAAAAAGCCAATAAATTTAAAGCAATTAAAATTTTTGGCATGTGTTAAAGTGAGAAATATCACACCAGTTAAGACCTAGACAAAGAGTGGCTAACGGGAATTACATTGAAAGGTTACAAAAATCTTACTATCACATTTGGGATTAAGAAAACAATAATAATAATAATAAAAGTTACAAAAATTTACAGCAGACTACTTTTCTCACCTACAAAATGGGCGAAAATAATGTTCATTTCTCTTATAATACCTTGCTGATAGGTTCAGATGGATGGAATAATTATTAAACAATGTGTACCTTATTATGATTATCATTAAAACTTTTTACTTTTAAAGGATTATTTGAAAGAGAAAAATTAATGCTGCTAATTGAGGAAATGATTTAATTTTTGGATAATTCAGTTACCTTCAGAACTTCAAGCATCCATGCTATTTTTAAGATAAAAGTATCACATTAAATTTGTTTTCATGGGTCACAGAAAGAGGTGACACATGCAAATTTTAACATGTGCTTCTTCTCAAAATAAAAAAAAGAATAGCAAAGTGTTTATCATACAAACTACTCAGAAGAATTATAGAAATCATCTGGACTTTGAATAGAATTCATCTGGACTTTAATGTTCACACAAAGTCTTGAGTTTGGGGCTTATCACCTGATTCACTTTTTTTTTTCTTTGGTGCTTTATGACTATAAAACTATTCTGATCATGACCTTGCAGTAGCAGAGATGACCCAATTCAGGTATAACATCGTGGAACATCTTTATTACTATATACATAAAGTTCAATAAATAAGAGAGATGTGATAAGATAGTTGATTGAGGGATCTTATTTTAGGACATACTCGGTGCTCAGTGGTGATCAAATTTTGAAATGGCAGTTTCTCCAGGTACTAAGTTTTCCTCCCCTTCACCCCAGTTTAGTAGTGGTGTGATTCCAGAATGATAAACCAGAAGCTACCTTCACCATGGTCAGAGCTAGACATTATAATTAGTGCTTGCCTCTCTGAGCCAGACCCCAGGACCGCAATGATGCTCCATAGAAGAAAGGCCCATGTGAAAGGGTAAGTTACTGGCAGAGCGGAAACTTCCACTTCTAGGCAAGAATGAGGCTTGTTTCCTGCTCCTGTTCTTTTAAAGAAATGAAAACAGAGAGAAGCCTCCGTTCTGCACTCCTACTGCAACAGAACGTGAGATTTAAATGAAAGGAGAAAAGATTAAGAAAGGAAGAGAAAGTCATTGGGGAAATGGAAGAGAGAACTCAGAAAACTAGAGGAAGTTAGGAGAGAGAGACACACACAGAGACAGAGAGAGAGAAAGGAAGAGAGAAGAGAAGAGAGACAAACCCAGGTCAGATAACTCACTTGGCATTCCCTGCACCTGCCTTCTTTCTTCGAAAGATGTTGAGGAAAGTGTTGGAGCGGCAGGGCAGCTTGCCATCGCCGACATGCATGCGGACAACATCAGAGGTGGTGAAGGCACTGCGGACATTCCTCTCAGGCTTGGCAATAATGATGTACATCTTGGGAGTGAACATGCACCCCAGGGCCACTGTTACACTGAGACTCACTGCAAAGCAAGTTGTGATGATCTTGTAGTTGCTCCCAAAGTAAATGGGCACAAAAGCTAGCCAGATGATACAGGTGGTGTACATGGTGAAGGCGATATATTTGGCCTCATTGAAGTTGGCGGGCACGTTGCGGGTCTTGAAGGCATAGTAGGTACAGCTCATGATGAGGAGTCCATTGTAGCCCAAAGGAGCCACCACACCCAGGTTGCTGGTATTACAGATAAGGTAGACTTCCTTGATACTTGGGTAGGACAGAATGGGCATAGGGGGCTCCATGATGATCAGGGTTACCACCAGGGTTAGTTGCACGCTAATCAGAATTGAGGCAATGATCACCTGAGCCCAGGCACTCATGAACCTGGGCTTTCGGGTGCAGATCTTCTTCTTGCTGCCAGCCAGGATGCGTGCAATGCGATTGGTTTTAGTCACTAAAGCAGAGTAGCACATCGCAGAGGAGAGGCCAACCAAGAGGCGCTGGAGGTAGCAGGAAGTTGTAGTAGGTTTGGCAATGAGAGTGAATGGGCACACATAACCAAGGAAGATGCCAGCCAGGATGATGTAGCAGAGCTCCCGACTAGAGGATTTGACGACTGGGGTGTCCCGGTACAGTACAAAGATTAGGGTGACAAACAAGGTAACAAGGATGCCCAGGCATGAAAAGGCGATGGCTATGATGGATTCGATGTTGCTCCACTCAAGATAGCGGACAGGAATGGGCTCACAGCCTGTGGTGAGAAAAATCATTTTAGCATGAATCCAAGGTTTCTGCTAGGAATAACAGCATCCTTATTAGTCACCAGGGACACAGTCATCTTTGCATCCTTCATGGCTTATGGTATTTCATGATTTTTTAAAAATGCTCACTATTACACAAATAAAGATACATCATGGTCTTCTCTGGACAATTATATCCCAAACCTAACCTCGTTACAAGCCTAATGCGACATTCTTGAACCTATAAAAATGATCTTTTCTTCCAACACCAGCATTATAAATAGATGTCATTCTGTGAATGGGACTCGGTTTTACACATTCAGAAAAAGAAAACACCCAAATGAAACGTGGTTTCCAGTGAGGGTTAAGTGGTGTTAATGGGATAAAATAAATTATTAAGCAATAAACTAACAAAACTTTTCTTTTGATGTAGTCATTGTCCATAGGCAAGTCCAGCTCACAGACAAGTAGTTTTTGGCCAGCAAAGTGTTTTCAATGTGAATTTTGGATTTAAGGATATTAGTGATTGAAAATTTTGCAGACTCTGAGAGCTAGTTGACATCACCCCTAGCAATGTGATTACTCATATGAGACTGTTGATTAGTTGGCACTCATTGTGCCAACTAATTAAATGTTACCTTAAATATCTTAATATTTAAATATCAACACCTTAATTATCACCCTTCTACTCATGAATCATGAATGATCTGTATCTGAAGTCTGAGGGCCTTTGAGTTAGTAACCTCTAATGGACATATCCAGGAAGAATGAAATCTCCCCCAACCTAGCTCTTTAAAGGAAAGACCAGAATTTGTTCCTAAATACCTGACTTACCTTTTCCCTCTAGATGGAGAATAAAATCTATTTTGTATTTCAGAATGAGAGAAAAATTTGTCAGGCTCTGGAGATAACCCCTTCACAGAATTTTTTAACCACAAAATATTTGGTGTGGGCCAATATTTCCCAAATTGTGAGAATAAAATCATTTCCATAAGTTTAGGAAAAGACTCATTGTTCTGTAGCCATGGCAACAAGAACCATCAGAATCAGTGCTAAACCTGTCAGTCAATCAACAACTTGCCTCAATGAACATGTGTTTGTATGCCAGGCAAGCACCGTCAGCTCTTGCTTCTGATAATCACTCAGGCAAGATCAGAATCACTTCAGTAAATGAGTGCCAACTAATCAACAGTCTCATATGAGTAATCACATTGGTATAGGTGATGTCAACAAGCTCTCAGAGTCTGCAAGGTTTTCAATCCCTAAACTCCACACTTATTTAAAACTCCATATAAAATAGTCCTCTGCTCAGAGAAATTGTATCTGCCTAGCGTAACTATCCCTTACTATAGTAAGCAATTTGTTTGGCTTTTGTGTTTCTTTTTTAAAAATGTATGTATTTAGTCTCACCATGTTTCATATTTCCAGGGACTTCACCAAGATAATTTTGAAGACCGCTTATTTGATAACATTCCAAGAGATGCTCTGATCAGCACGGTCACCCATTGGGTCCCTCATGCCCAAATTCTGTCCTTCCCATGTACTACCATATAAGTCAGTCTCAACAATTTTCTTGCTTTTGCTAATTTTAAAGAGCTCTTGTTGCTGAATTTACTTATTGTTATCCTAGGATTTGTAATCATGTGCACCTTTATATAGAAGGTCATTAAACTTAGGTCTTTGTGTAAGGTAATTTCACCTGTATCTTTAAAATATTAAGTCATATAACCTTTGGTTTTGAAATGCACCATTTGGTAATTAGACATAAGCTTTTTCTTATGTCAACAAACATTTTATTTTAGAAACATACAATTTGGTAATTTTTTTCACATCTGTTTGTTCCTTTGTTTTCTTTGTTTTTTNTTATACAAAGTCTTATTTTATGGGCTTTGTTTGTTTCTTTCTTTCTTTTGTTTTGAATCATCTTTTCTGTTTTGTTTGTTTGTTTTGTTTGGAATCAACTTTTTCTGTTGAATGTATAAGGGGTAGTTCATAAACACTAGAGGAACATGTAGGTCTAAGAAGTGTCCAATCCAAGCTGGCCCTGAGTGCTAATGTTTGGAGATCCAATAAACTGATAACCAATTTGTAAAAAAATGGTAGGTCGCTCAGCCTCAGGTTTCTTAGAAAACCTTGACAAGAGTACTTCCCATATTGTCAGCTTATGAAAGATCACTTATTTAGTGAATGTGTGTTACCGTCCTACAGTGTTTACTTTTGGAATCTAAGACACCATTAGCCATCACACAATTTTGACAGAACTTGGTGGCCTCTCTTCCTTGTGTATCAGGGATTTGTCTCTGTCTAAATACAAATCTCTTTCTGGAAGAATTTATTCTTCCTATATAAAGTCTCACATTAATTCTATTTTTTTTCCCAATACAGGCCAGACAGATGATACATAGTTGATGATAGATAGATAGATAGATAGATAGATAGGAAAATAGATATTTAAAATAACAATGGCCATATGGGAACTTTTAATATAATGAAATCAATAAATTAAAATATTTAAAAGGGGCTCTAGACAAATTAGGAGATAAAATACCAAATAGTCAATTGTCAGCTCCTTTAGCTGGCATCCTGCAAACAAATTATCAAATTCAAAGATGAATTTTGTCAAGGCTTTTGTAACCTTCTGAATGCTACCTTCTTTTCATTTCATTCTTTCACTATGCAACATTACCTGACTCTCTAAACGAGCTACTCTGTCTTCAGGGTTTTCACTGGAAAATCTGTAACTTTTTAAACTTTCTAGAACATAAGTCAGAACTATAGAATTTGAATAAAAATCCTGGTGCAAAGCCAAATTAGGACCTATAGTTAATGATTTTCCTAAACCTTATGAGTACAGAACATAATGTTTGCTATAGAATTTGGAAATTTTATTAGCTATTTATTGTTCATACCACAAGTATGTATAAATTAATTCAATTAATTGTTAGCCTTTTATGGAGAAAAGTGTTTAAATGCGAGAGTAGAAAAGAGAAGATTAAAATAACCCAGTGGTGTAACATTTAAAAAATAAAAATAGAAAAAGCATTACATAAGGCACTTTCAGAAGCTTTTCTTTCAATAAATATTCAAAGTTGTAAACTAAATAAAGACGAAGAATAAACTTTAGGAAACCTTCAAATAGTTCTGAAATAGGCTCAACAACTGACATAAAAAGGACCATATTCTCTCCCTCTGTAAGTAGCCTTAAACCTCCTGAATTAGTTGAATCAAATGGAGAAAAACCAATTAAAACGTAAAATTACCAGTTTAGAAAATATCCAAGATATGGCTTGACATTTCCAGATAAACTTAAAAAGTAAATAACCAAAATCAACATAATTACAGACCTTTCAGTAAACCAACTAAAAGGTCTCTGTTGTCTATGGTTTGGGAGCTTGTGGATAAGAAAACCTGTAGATGTCTCAAGCAGAAGTGTCATCTGAAGAACATTTGTGAAAACTCAGTACAGCTCATGAAAAATGAGACAACTTATTCTGGAAGGACAAGTTGGCCAATTAAACAGCAATGGGAAGACATTTTCAGCATAGCAGAAGATGTGTCGAGCTCATGCTTCATTTGTAATTGAATTAATTTGGAAAAAATGTATGGGACATTGATAAAATTGCAAAAGAAACCTTTGAGGTTTCTGTCTACAATCCAGATGGATTATATACAGTCATTTCTGTCTATTATTTGTGACTAGGTACTAGTTCAAATAGTGTGCTTATTTTATGACTCTGTGTAAGCATTCCACCATTAAAAAGCCACAATCCTCACAATGGCTAAAATACAACTAGATTTTTATTTCTTAGCTGAAACATTCCAGTTTATAAAGCCAATGATATGAGGACATTTTCACTGGAATATTTATTCATGACCTCATCATTCCCAACACCCTAGAAAAATAAAAGGGAACCTTAATATACTGATTATCAGTGATTTTAAACTGAAATTCTGCAAAAGTCTCCGGAAGTAGAAAGGGAATGGAAGTTAACTGCTAACCCAAGGACCTTTGAACATGATAATAACCATACCATGATCTTCTGTGCAAGATCATCATTATAAAATTCTTGTATATATCATACTCTCCTTTGTATTTTCTTGTTTATTCATGTTTCTTCTCTTACTGATTTAAAGCTATAAAAATCTGAGGTTGTCTTTACTATTTCTCTTACTACTAATAGGAATTTATCTGAGACTAGATATTATTAGAGACAATCAACATACTAACTCAATAATTTAGTTATATCAAGCTATTGATAATGCAACGCATTTACTTTTCTGAGTAATTCCACTGATTTTTCGTATTCTGTTCCTTTGGGATTCCTCTTTTCACAACTACCGCTACCATGGTAACACCAGAACACATCGGCATGGACTATGCCCATGCTTTGTGCTTGACATGGCACCAAGCAAGTGGTAAATGAGATTTCATTTTCCATTCATATATGAGGCCAAAAGAAATGCAGAATCAATAGGGATCATTAAAACATAAGTATACATTAGAATGAGAAATCTATATTCTGAAATGTCCTAAGATAAGATTTACAAAATCGCCTGAATATATGACCCCATCATAGCTGCATGCCTGTTATCAGCTAACACCACGGTCTGAGCAGTTGCTAGCCCAACTCATTTGAATGTTAAAGTGACTTTTATGCATATGAGAAATCTTTAGAAATGTGACTGTATTAATATTCATCTATTTTTAACCAAGGAGAATTTTAAAAACACTTTACCAAGTTAAAGATCCCTAATCAACAGAAATGATCATTTGGCAGTGGACAGACAATATACAATAATTCCACAATAGAGCATCTCTAGAGAATAAAAGATATGACTTTGAGTTCCAGTATTACATCATATCAGGTCTTTTTATGAAGTTTTTTTTATCATAATGTTTTAAAATAGAATAGAAGTTCTTTTTAATGTGTGAGATAAGCCCTAATTACAGTGAAATGGAGCAGTGAGAAAAGTTTGAGAAAGCCCAAAAAATGTAGACAGGAGAAAAGTTTTTGTATCTCAAAGCCAAGACTTCTGACTTCTAAGATTAACCTGATAAAGAGGTCACTTTTGTCTTTGAGCTTCTTCCTAGTCAGTTGTGATCTCAGTCAAACAGATGAGAGGAGTGACTCTCAGTCAACCCCAGCTCTTGAACACAATGGCCATCTAAGGGGACCTACTTATACAAGAAAAAGAGGCCTGGCAGGAGGCACACACTATGAAGGAGGATAAAAATTTGAAGAGAAATAATGTAAAGTGGATGGAAGGCATGAGTCCCAAATGAGGTTGAAAAAGCTTTTCCAAGCCAGTCCACTGCATGCAACCATGGCAGAGTGAGAGAGCATTCATTAGATCCAGTGACAAACAATCGTGAATTCTCACTGTGGTTTTTCTATTAACCAACTGCATTGACCTCGATGACCTTGCGCGAGTCCCTTCTTCCTAATTCCCTCAATTTGACAAACACACATTAAGTAGCTATTATGTTCAAGGCATCAGGCTATGCACCAGAAAGTGGTGTTTCTCAATGGGTGGGACAGGGATTAATTGCATCAGGATCTGCTGAGTTCCACTCCAGAATGGGCAAAGGTGAATCTCTGGAGGTGGGCAATCCCTGGGTAATTTTTAGGCATGAAATTTAGCTGCCAAATAAAAAGATGAGTGAGATGCAGTTCTTACCTTCAAAAACATTCTGATCTACTTTTCTTCTCTTTAAAAAGGATCTTTATACTAGGTGACATGAAAGCTTTCTGCTGCTGTTTAATTTTTTTTCTAACAAAATTAACATTTTACAAGGTATTGTCACTTAGTAAGTATAATTTTAGTTACCTGACCTAGTTCTACTTACCTAGTCATTTCTGATATACTTTGAATAAACTGCATGATTTCTTACTTGGAAACAAGTAAAAAAGTAACCAACCATCAAGAATATTACATTTTCGGATGATTTTCAACAGCACCCAAAAAGGCATGGAGTCAAGGGTCAATGGAGTAGGTTCTGAATCTCACTATTTTCCTGACTTTGGCCATACAACTTCACCTCTCTAGGCCTCAGCTCCCTCTTTCTAAGGCAAGAGGCTAGATTATTCAGATGACAAAGTGTCTATGTACTCAGATTTTTTTTTTTAAAAAAAGCCTTTATGGCTCCTAAAATTTATGCAAAGTTTTATGAATCATTTCTCCTCTGTAAGCTCATAACAAGGTCTGTGAAAAACAAAATTCATTTATATGAACATCACTCTTAGGAAACTTACAAACTCATCTAATCAATCCCTCTGAGTTCCATTGGTTTTACCAGTGAATCATATGTTGCATTCATTTATTCCTTTCCATTCCCACTGTAGCTGTTCTAGTCCACGTGTTTTCAAATAACTCACTTGCATCCATACAACAGCTTCCTATACCACCACATGAAGCATACGTCAGAAATACAGATATCATGATGTCATTCACACTTTAAAATTCTTTAGTGGTCCTCCTGTGCTTAAAGCCAAAGTCCGAATGTGTATAAGGTCATACAGAAGCACTTGGCCATCCTGTCAAGTGTCCTTGTCTATTCTCATTTCTGACTACTATTCTACTGGGCCATTATGTCTACCCACCAACCCCACATACTTGTTCTATGATTTTCTGTATGTGTGTCATAAACTTTCATGTTTCCCATGTTTGACTTTAAGTCTGAAATTCTTTTCTTCTTCCTGTCTGCCTAACAAACTTTATGCTCTTTGTAGATATCTCTATTATTTCAATCATTCTGTTATGTTTTATTATATTTTTCCATGTTCCTTCCCTGATAGATTTTAAGCAAAATAAAAGCTGGGACAGTATTTCATTTACCTTTCTATCTTTAGGACCCACAGTTATGCCTCATCCATGGGAGATATTGAAGGGATGATAGCAAATATAAATTCAGGTGGCCAGAAATACCTTCAAATACAATTTAAAGAAAAACAGAAAACTACTCTATAACATAATACCATGTTCTACCACACAGCAATTCATTGTTATATAGATTTACATGAACTTTCTTTTCAATGTAGATTATAGAAAACTTATAAGAGATTTATGCATTCCTTGACATGAACACTTAAAAGTGTGCATTGTAAATTAACATTGAGAAGATATGAGCTAATCATGCTCATTTGAGCAATGGACACATCAGAAAGACAAATGGTCAGGGACAAGGTTTCCAAGTGAGGCAGTTCCTACCTGTTAGATCTGCATTGGGCCACCATCCCAAGTCACAAGCTTTGCAGGTGAACTCATCTTGCACATACTCGTTCTCTTTGCAGGCCGTGCAAATCCAACAGCAGCTCACTTCTCCTTTCCGTATAACCTATAACACAGATATTTCATGAATTTTAAAGATAGTTTTCTCAGAAAAACTTCTATTTCAGATGAGGACTTGTTTTCAGACTATGAATAAAGAAGAAAAGACTAACTTTGAAAAAAATATTATATGCTGAGGAATCTTAAGAATATGAATTTGCATATACTTGATTATCTTAGAGTTCAGATGGAAATGACAATTCATTCCATGATGGGTTTGTAGGCTTTTCAATACTAATTTATTTTATAGAGTTATTTGACTACATTTTTTGCAGAGTTAAAAATGAAACAGTTTAATTTAATCTTTGTTTATATTAACATTTATTACTTTTAAAAAAGTAAAAAAATATACATTTTTCTTCCCTGAGAAAGCAAGTAATGTTTTACCACAAAATGTCTCCGATAAAACCTTATTAATTCATAAAAGCTAAGTAATTATACAATATTTTATAATTATGAAAGACTGAATTATAGAAAATTTTACTCAAGAGCAAGTATATAAGTACATAAAAACAGAATGATAGCTAAGAATTCAGAATCAAGTATTGCCCTGCCTGACTTTTTCTAGTGAATTCAAAAGATCATATCAAGTATTGGTAGCAAAATTACTAGTTCAAAATTATGGGAGAACCACTTGTTATTTGAGCAGTTTAAACTTTCCCCCATTTTCAATTTGTTTGGTGAACACTTTACACTCCATAGTACAAAAATAAACATAAAAACACATTGCATTTAAAGTGAGTGTCTTGTAGAGAGCATATAATTTGGTCTTGTCTTTATCTCTAGTCTGGCAACTTCTGCCTTCTATTGTTTAGTACATTTACATTTATTATAATAATCAGTATAGTTAGATATAAATCAATCATCTCTTATTTTGCTTTTGTCTGTCCCATCTGTTCTTTGTTTTCTGCCTTCTTTTTAGCATTTCATTTTATCCCCACAGGGGCTTATTAGTTAGATCTCATTATTATGTTTTAGTGGTTGCTCTAAAGTTGACAATATACATCACTAATTTATCACAGTCTACATTCGGATAAGATTATACTACTTTATGTATAATGTAAGAACCCTACAGTAATATTCTTCCATTTTCCCCTCCCATCCTTTAGGTAATAGCTTTAAACATTCTACTTCCACATATTTATTTTATAGCCCCTTCTCAAATGAATTATTGTTTTTGCTTTAAACAGCCAATTATCTCTGAAATATTTTATAAGAAAGACATTATATTTTATATTTACTCATATATTTACATTTCTGGTTTTTAAAATTACTTTGTATAGGTCCGCATTTTGGTCTGGTATAATTTTCTTTTTACTGAAGACCTTTCTTTAACATTTACAGCAGTGCCTGTCTGAGAATATGATCTCACTCAGCTTTTATTTGTTTGAAAAAGCATTAATTTTGCCTTAGTATTTCAAAAATAACATTTTCACTTGCTATGGAAGTTTAAGTTGACAGTGTATTTATTTTTTGTTTCAGCATAGTTATGCCATTTCATTGTCCTAGGGAATAGAATTCTAGGTAAAAGATTTCTTTTTTTGCTTTCAGTGCCTTAAAGATGTTATTTCTTTCTTGTCTGACCTATAGTTTCTGATAAGAAGGCTGCCATAACTGTTATTTTATTACTCTGCATGTATCAGCCCTTTCTTATTTTGGATAATATTAAATTTTTTATCACTGGTTTTTAGCAACTTTACAATGGCTTCTTAGTGTTTATCTTGCTTAGGATTTGTTGAGCTTTATGGATTTGGGTTTACATTTTCATTACATTTAAAATTTTACAGCCATTATTTCTTCAGGTTTTCTTTTGACCTGCTTCAATCTCCCATCCTTCTGGAGCTTCAGTTGCACTTATAGTCTACCCCTCAGTATTACTCTGCAAGTAACTGAGAGGCTGCTCATTCCTTTTAGTTTTTAAGTTTTTCCCTTTGTGCCTCATTTGCCTGTTTCCCATTGCTATGTTTTTGAGTTCACTGACCTTTAGTTCTACAACAACAAATGTGTTGTTAATGCAATCCATTAAAATTTTTTTCTTAGATATGCTATTTTTCATTTCTATAACTTCCATTTTGTTATTTTTATATTTTCATTTTTATTCTTTTTATATTTATGTCTGCTTTAAAATATTTTAGCATGTATTTATCCTTGTGTTTTAATGCCCTTGACTGCTAATTTCAACATCAATGTAATTGCTGGAACTGTTTCTATTGCTCAGTTTTCTTCCTGGTAATGTAACACATTTTGCCACTTTTCTACAAATTTTTGGCCAGATGCATGACATTGTGTTGTGGATTTATTTTTCTTCCTTTTTTTTAAAGGAATGTTGGACTTTGAGCAGGCAGTTAAGCAACATACAGCTCAGTTTGCTCCCTTTGAGCTTCGATTTTAAACGTTTAGATCAAGTCTAGAGTAGTTGCTATTCTAGGAATAGTTTAGCCTCATTATTAAGATATGACACTCCAAGAGCTTTTACTTAATTCCTTATGTATTCAACAAGATATGTCTACTCTGGCTGGTGGAAGCTGGAAAAATTCCTGGCTCTATGTCAGCTCTGGAAATCCAGCTCCCTAGTAAGTATTCCTTAACTGAACTCAAAATACCAGCCTGCTGACATGTAGATTAGTATTCAATCAAATACTCAAGGGAATGCCTACGCTAATTTTTGTGACTCCTTTTTTGCATAGATCCATCTTCTTCCATACTTTGCACTGCAAATTCTTGCTGATTTGGCCCTCCAAAACTCTAAGTCTGTCTTCTTAAATTAGCAAGATGGCCAACCTATATTTGTTTTCTCTCTCAAATGAACAACAATCAGGAAACTGTTTCTGTCTTTCTGACTCGAGGCAGAAAGCTGAGTGATTTTAGGTTCACTGTGTTTGTTTCCTCTCACTTCCATGAACTGAAGGTCATGTACTATTTTCCAATGTCTGAACACAGTTGTTTCATATATTTCATCAAGATTTCTAGTTGCTTATGGCAGAAGGCTAAGTCTGGACTCTGTTTATCCATCATTTCTAGGAGCAGAAGTTTCTCTCTAACACATTAAAAATGTTCAAATAGTCCCATCTGTAAAATCAGAAATTAAATGCTAATTATTGCTATACTTTAAAATAATAGAAATTCTAGCCTTCATAAAAATAAAATAACCTTCCTGCAGATCAGGTTGGCATTTATACCACTGTTTTAGAATTACATAAAAAGATTAAATGACAGAATATTTTCAACAAGTATAGAAGGTTTTCTTTTTCTACTTTTTCTTTCAAATAACTTTTGAAAGTAGATTCAAATTAAGTCATTTTTGAAAAAACTCACACCTATCCTTAAAACAGGCATGCCTCAAAATAGGCAAGAGAAATTTAAATTATAAAAGATTTCTAAATGATATGAGAAAAACTGAATTAATAAATAAATGCTACGGTCTTATTTTAATTAGGTTAAGCAGTACAGTAAGAGCCATCACAAATTACTGTATGCCACCTCAACCAGCTTTCTCTCCCTGTAAAATTAGTACTACTAATTAGACAAATCCAAAAGATGACAATGCCAAACAAATTTACTTATGGAGGATGACTGGTGAAAGCAGATTCTGCAAATAACCAGTACATGGAAGGTGTTGAACATTAGCTTTTGACTGACTGAATAAATTAATGATTATGTTATTAGCTTATATCTTTAATACAGAATGAAAAATAGGGATGCTTAAATGGAGTTACTTTTTATCCCCCACCTTTACGTACCAAGTGCACCAAGCATGTGCACTTTTGCCATGTAATACCTGTAAGATGAAATTTATAATTTCTATCTTCACAGCCACCCCTCTAGACTCAGATTTTATTACTCTACACTGAAATTATGTTCCCTGCCAGTATGATTCATTGTATATATATATCTAGGGAATTATATACCATGCCTCTAATTTCTTCTCACTTCAGAGTAAGATGCACATAGCTGCCAAAATTATCCAAATAGCCCGTGACTCCTCAGAGGAAAGGACTATGCCATTCTTTCAGTGTTTTCACAGCATACTCATTGAGGCACAGAAATATACCAATCACACACAGCCAATGAGTGAATGCTGAATTGAATATTTTTCAAAAACATAATTTTGTTCAAAGAACTCAAAGAACTTTAGTGCCTTCTATTCTAATACATTGGAAATATAAGTTCTTCCATCAGGCATTCACTTGGCCCCTAGTTTTTGTTTCTGTGCCTAACTTTGTCTATTATTAATTTCTTACATATGTCTGTGAAAAAAGGAAGGGCAGCCTCTGTACTAAAATGCATATTACCTTCTGTTTAGAATATCATCTTTCCTACATCAGGCCCTCTATGTTACTGCTTTCAAGATCAGACACAAAAGTCACATGCTTCAGTGAGTATTTTAAAGAAGTGAGTCTTTCAAAACATTTTATTTGGAACTCTTCATCAATAAAAATATTGTTGATATTTTATTACCACAAGTTAGCTTTTGTCCTCTAATTGTTTTACAAATATGTGGTAGATATGTTTCATTCAGGTAAGTTGTTTTTTAAAAATGTATTAGGTTATTATCTCTTATTTATTGTTTCCCCAAAGTCACAAATTTAAAATTATTTTTATATTTGTCATAGTAACTGATATTTCTTTTGTATGATGTATGCATTCAATAAGTGAATAAAATATTGTTTAATTTTTGTCACACTAAAATGCTTTTTATGACAACTCTGAGTCATAGAAAAGTTTTAACATTTCACTGAAACCTGCCTTGAAGGACTAAAGCTTTCTAAGACATAGGACCTGTTTTGATCCTTTTGACATGCTGTATATATGGTTCTATGCTTGTTAGTGAGACTAGGTAATCTGCTGCTACACACAATGCTATGATTCACTTTATATACACTGTGAGTATCTTCAAACATTTATACCATAGGAAATTAAATGTCCACTTTGTGACTACGTTTCTGAAGTAACATGAAATGGATTTGTTTAAATTAAAATTTTATTTAGAGAATAAATGAAAGAAAG